CTGTAACAGTGAAAGATTATTGGTATTTGTTATAAGTGTGCCATGGTCAAATTGACTGCTAGTCTATTTAACTAATGATTCTTATTAAACTCCACGACCGCAAAACATGAGTGTGTTAGCGACCCCTGAGAAGAATTGTTTTTCCCCATAGACGCTACATTTGTGTTCCCTCGCCTTGTGAAGACAGTTGTCGATCAGTTGTTATTCCACTTTCTCCTGGGAAGCTCAATCTTGAATTAGTCTGTGTATATGAACTCAAGTAATTCGCCAGACCTTTGTCAACTGAGGGTCATCTTTGAATGAGTAACAGTTAGAGTTGTTTGTAATTATTGTCATTGCGTGAGTAGCGATCACTGGCAACTCAGGGATATATATATGTAATATTCAGAAATTTCAGTGTAATTTCAAACGCCGCGCCATTGGTGATACTGAGTTTTCAAGGTCGTCTGAGGGAAGACCGCGCTCTCGCACGTAGCAGAGTTTGTGGAACCAGGCCTATACGATATTAAATGTAATTTACCGAATTATTATAGAGGCGAATTATGAAATTAAATATCAGTTATTAAATTAAAAAGATTATAGATCGTTTCCCAGTCTGAAAATGTTGTGTACGTCCTAATTAAGCTGTTAATCGTCTGGTAAATAAGTCACTCCTGAAAAACGTGAACCAGTGAGCAAGGGTGCCTGGGGAGTTGTGAGAGAGGTCAAGGACCACCTTTGTGCTGTACCCAGGAGAGACTGATCGCGTGACCTGGTTCCTTCGTTTATTTAACATCAGGATTAACAAGGTTCTGTAGACCCCACGCGGTATGATAACGTCCACTGGCGGTATGAGACACGAGTGGTGAAGCGAGCTGTATGACCGTCCACTGACCTGGGTTTGAGCTACCTGTTGAATATGGTTAGAGTTGGAGTGAACCCAGCTGTCTAGGTGCCCAACTAACGACGTGACGATCGTTTGGGGTCATCAGCTCTCCTCTGCCTCGGCTCACAATACCACATATCTTCAAGCAGCTTAGTGAAAACCTTTTACTAACGGGAAGCTAAAGCTTCTCTCAACTGTACAAGGTCTGATTGGCTCACTCCCTTCCGTTTCATGGATGTACTGGGGGTAAAGTGAAGCCAGCTGAGTGATACAGGGTCACACACTGGGACCAAGAGTCCAGTGGAACTTAGAGGTACATTTCCAAGGCTGAGAAAGGCTGGTTTGGGCCTTAAACTATGGGTGCCTGTTGGTTGTGCCTTAAAAAACTACGGAGTGCAGGTGGAATCTATGTGTTAGGTTAGGAAGCATGGTTCACGGGTATTGGTGGACTCAGTAACTTCTTAATAATAGTGATAATATTTTTGTGTGTAGTTAACACTATTTTTTCAGTTACTGATGTTGTCTTGCTGTGTGTGGTTAATATTTCTTAAATAATTTTGATAGTATTGTTTTTTAATGTTGTGTCACTAATTGATGCCAGAGAATGAGGGAACTGGTTTTCAGATGAGGTTCCTCCTCTGTTGTAAATGATACTGTGATTTAGTTCCTTTAATGCATTTAATATTTCTTTATAATTTCAATCTCAGGTATAACCTTTGTTCCCCAGAGTAGTGTTTAAGTTAGGTTAGGAGGTGTGCATCTGTTGGGGTAATACAATTTTGTGGACCGCCCTGAAGGCCTACTCAGGGTGGAGTTAATAAGTTGTTATTTTTTATACCATTTTCTCAGTGCTTGATATAATCTTGTTGAGTGCCCTTAAGGCCTATTCATTGAAGAGTTATTTATTTCTTATTTTTTTAATACCATTTTCTCAGTGATTGATATTATTTTGTTGAAATCCCTTTTGGCCTATTCATGGTGGAATTAATAATTTCTTATTTTTATACCACTTCTGCAGTGGTGGATATTATTTTGTGAAAATCCTAAAGGCCTGTTTCATGTGTGCAAGCAACACTTCTTAATACTTTGAATTTATTGTTGTCTAATGAGGCATTGTCGGAGTTTCTAAATAATTTCAATATCATGTATAACTTTTATTCCCCAGAGTAGTGTTTTAAGTTCAGGTTAAGAGGTGCGCATATGTTGGTATACCATTATTTGCTTGTGTCGTAGTGTTGGAGGGAATATAAGTGTCTAAATTTTACAGTGGGTCTCATTCATCCCAGTCACAGACGCTATCCTTCCACGGGTCACGGAGAATTCATTTTGTTAGTAAATTTAAGTGTTCTTGTGTTGGTTCGGGATTTTCTCAAAGGGGCGCTTCCACTGCAATTTCCATTTAATAATTAATAACCCCCAAGTCAAGTGAGAAATTAAAGTCCAGTAAATTTCCGACCGGTTACAAATGGTAGCAGAGCGTAGTTATTTTTATTTCGTGACTGATAGTTCTGTGGTTGGGATAATGGGCGTAATCATGGAGTGGATGGAAACGGTAGAGTGTGTGACCCCAGCTCTACTCATGCTCGCCGTGGGAATGGGTTTGTTATGGTTGATGGTGCGGGGTTACTCGGAGAAAAGGAGAGACAGCCCGGGTTTGGTACAGTTGAGAGAAGAGTTCGTGGAACGTATTGGAAAGCTAGAGGGGAAAATCCGGGGAGAGTACCTGGAACGATTGGAACAGTTAGAAGGGAAGATCAATGGTGAATGTCAGGCATGGGCGAACCAAATCAGGGGGGAGTATGAAGTATATGTACAACAGTTAAGGGGGGAGCACCACACACAATTGCAACAGTTAGAGAAGGAACATCAACAACACCTAGCTCAGTTGGGGGATGCACTAGATAGGGTAAAGACACAGTATCAAATACAGCACGATGAGGCAATGTGGGAGATGAGGAGACACAATAGTAGAGAGGGAACTAGTCTCGGGGCCGGGTTGACCATGTCTAAGTTCGACTGTAGGCCAGGAGTAGAGGTAGGGAAGAGGTTAAGAGAGGTTGACCGAACCCTCAAGCTGCTAAACGGAGACGAAGTCGGTCGAATCCAATTCATAATAAGGCATCTTGCGGGGCCTGCGGCAAATCGCGTATACAATGCACGCCGAGACTGGGAAACCGTAGACGAATTAACTTGTTATTTGAAGCAGCAATACGGCGGGCACACGGCCACGTACGACGCCATTCAGAAGGTGATGAATCGGAAACAACGGAGCAACGAAACGCTTCTTGAATATTATGATGCTATGCTCGATTTAAACGATGAGTTGAACCACCATGGACATAAATATGATAAGGCCCTGTTGGGAGATGCAATCACTCGAGGGCTCAAGGAGGAACAAAGCCGTATGTGGTTATTGGAGGAGATCCAGAAGTATCCTCACCGTAGTCTAGATGAGTGGATCACGAAACTGAGAGAGGCGGAACAAAAACGAGAGGCTTTGAGGGAGGTACCTCTGACTAAGGGAAGAGAGAACGAACCGCAGGCTGGGGGCTCGATTCTCCCGATGTGCTATGCGTGTGGACAAGAGGGTCACCTTAGTTTCAATTGCACGAACAGGTCCTGACCAGGAGAGAGTGTCCCAAGGGGATACGTGGCCAATGGCCAGTATCGAGTTGGAAATAATAATCGGAACTGGCGGTCGGGAAATGGTCAAGGCCAGGCAGTCCCCGCCAACCGTTCCTGGCCTCACCAATAGATTCCGCCGGCGATGTTATGAACCAAGAGAGAGCGGACCCGTGGTCGAGCGTGGTCCACATGACAAATTTAATCACGACAGAAGGTACCTTAAGGCTGAAAGCAGAGTGTCCTAAGGTTTCGGTGCTGGTAGCGGGTCGTGAAATGTGGGGTTTAGCAGAGACTGGGACAGAAGTGTCGTTAATTGATGAACACTTCTACCGTCGGGAGCTGGAGCCTGCAGGCGTGGTGTTGCAGCCCACTCGAATAAGAGTAAAAGGGGAGTCAAGATTTCCAGTGCCGTGTGTGGGGTGTATTTGGGTCACTATGGTCGTATGTGGGGTGGAAGTCACTGATGTGGGGCTGCTGGTTTGTACAGGGGTTGAGACCCAGGGTAAGGGGCAATCGCATGTTGGGTTGTTGGGGATGAATGTGCTGGGGGAGGTTGCGGAGATCTGGCCACACATGTATCACTTGTGCAGGGAAGCCAGGAGCACCGCTCAGTGGGAAAATTGCTTGCATGAGGTTAGGCAGTTATATGCAATAGAGGCCATCAGCCTGGGGTATTGTACAACGGAGAGGAAGAAAAGCCAGGTAGCTAACAAAGAAATAGTGATTGAACCTCTAACAATGGAGGATGAAGGTTGGATGCCTGAGGGTGTGATCGTGTTGCCGACAGCTGTAAGAGTGGTGAGAGGCATGACCCAGTTGTTGGTGGCAAATCTGTCTGATCGTCGAGGAACTTGAGGGGCAATTGGCGGATTGGGAAGGTGGCTTCTGGGACGGAAGTCGAGACAGACATCAGTGAGGAGGTGTATGTGAGGACAGTTCAACCGGATGCCCGTACGGAGGTCAAAGTGCACACGGAGAAAATGAATGATGAACAAGAGCGTGCAGTTAGGGGTTTAATAGAAGAGTTTAGTGATATTTTTGAAGGGGAGGGCCAGCCCATAGGAAAGGCTATTGGGGTTCAGCATGAGATCCCAGTGACTACAGACAGGCCAGTTAGGGTGCCATACCGGAGGATCCCTCCAAACCAGGTACCAGAGGTGAAGCAGCACATTAACCAGCTGTTAGATCAGGGAGTAATTCAGCATAGTGAGAGTCCCTACTCTGCCGCCATTGTAGTAGTGAGGAAAAAGGACGGGACGCTGAGGTTGTGCATTGACTATCGTGACTTAAATAAGGTCACGGTACGTGATGCGTTTCCTCTGCCTAGGATAAATGAAACTGTAGAATCTCTGACGGGGGCCCAGTTTTTCTCAACGTTTGATCTGGCGGCGGGATATCACCAGATAGAAGTAAAACCTTCAGACCGTCCAAAGACTGCCCTCAGCACAAGCTTCGGACACTTTGAGTCAAATAGTCCGGGAACCTTTCAGAGATACATGGAGCGGATGTT